CGAAATTTGATGGAAGTGCCGGTTATAGCGAGCGGCACTTACCGAAGGACCTCGCAACGCGCGTAGAGGCGAGCGCCACGCCCCGTTTGCCGTTGTCCCCCCCACTGGCGATGTTTAATACGTACCGCATGGGGTACTCATTTAAGGCTGAGATGGCCCGCGCGAAGGCCCGCGATTGGTTCAGGCATTTTGTTACCGACGTTGGTCGCGAGCGCGAATCGATCTCGAGTCGCCGAACTCGTAACCGAGGTGCGCAAATCGCTACGCGACCGCTCCCATTACACTCCCACTGATGTTGCCACCTGCACGAACCCGGGACAGTCCGGGAATCGAACTTAGGTCGGCAGCTTAGTAGTGAGAGCGCGGGTGGCCAGCGCCACGCCCGATCGCCTTTGTCTCTCTGAGTGGCGATGTTTTACACACCGCACCAGGTACTCACTTGAGGCCTAGTCGATCGAGCTCCAGTAGAGGGCAGGTTAGACGCACACAACAGCGGCACCAGCTGTACTGCCCCACTGTGCCAACTCGCTGTGTTTTAGCCGCCCAGCGCTCCGCTCGTTGTTGTGAGCATGGCTCCTCTGCCACTCCGTTGTTGCTCGAGGGCGATTGCATCCAACTACCCAGCAGTAGCAGCAGCAGCGTCCTTCACGAGCCTCCTCCTCCAACCTCCTCCAAAAGAGGCCGATCTTGACACCGCTGGTACCGCTCATCGGCGAGTCCGCTCAGCTCCACATCCTCCCGTACCATATCAATCCACGTTTTCTCTAGCCCGTCTCGTGCCCGCTTATCCCCCTCTATCCGGCCAAACAGAAGCTGCTTGGGCATGCGGTGGCTGGGCATGCGGGCGATATAACCCAGCCAACGCAGCCTCGCCTGCCGGAGGAGCTCACCCATGATGGAGAGTGTGTAAACGATTGTAGGCTTGCCAGCCTAAATGTTTCACATGTTTCGCAATCATAGGGAATGGAGGGCATAACACACACGCACAAAGACAAAGATCCCACATATCGCCGTCACAGGCCGTTGGGGCGAGTGCTGTTAGCGAGTAGCACCAAATGAAGGCCGGTACACGAGCGGATGGGTGGCCAGGACCATCCACGTACACACACAAAGACAAAGATCCCCCGCATAGTCTGAACAGACCTTTGGGGCAAGTGTTGTGAGCGAGTAGCACCTATGAAGACCGGCACGACGCACTAGATGTTCGAACTATCGGAAGGCGTTCCGAGAAACGAGGACATCTCTAAAAATTATCGGGGCCACGCCGAACGACTGGAAGATTCAAGCCGCGGGTGACCGGAGATTCCACGTATAATGATGTTCGTTTGCATTTTATTTTCGCGGATAAAAGGGAGTATTCGCGGATACCATGCTTGCAGATGAGATGCTTTGTCTAGTACAGCCACAGCGAGCCAGGACGGATGAGTGTGTAAAGTCAAGCCGTGATCAATGCGGTCACCGCTGAACCAGCTTGGGTGCGATACCCATCAGATCTTCAGACGCTACGCGAGATTGAGCCCAGGCCATCACTTGGACGCGATGATGGACCGGAATGCTGTGGGAGTATGCCAGCTTGCGGCAGCTGTGCGCTGCGACGTGGCTGAGAGATGGAAGTTATAGCGGCGGATTCCTGAATCTATCCGTGTGGATCTTTGGGAGCGTCGTGCTCCCCCCCCCCCCTCCATCTCTCTCTCTCTCTGGTAAAGGTCTCGAGACTCGGCAGCGATGTTCCCCTGGCTAAACGTCGCTGCCATTAGCGGTGAATGATCGTCGAGAAGACGACTGCCAGTACACCGCAGCCAAATCGCCGCCACGCTTCTCGTGGAAGGCGCTTCGAGTCCAACTCGTGGCGAGCTTCTCACATTTGCACGACCACGGGATAGTACCGAAGCACACGGGTTCACATCACGAGTTCAAATCCCGACTAGGGTTGACTCAGCCGCACCAACGTCATTGCCATCACCATCGCCATCATCATCATCATCGCTATCATCATCATCCTTCTCTCGGAGCCGAGGGTCCATGAAATGAGTACCACTTTTTTGGGTAAAGTCAACAGCACTTTCCCCCATCGATAAACTCCTCCCCGACAACCCCACCCCACTCCCGCCATAGGAATGTGGAATTGCCGTCTCTGGGGCTCAGCAGGGCTGTAAAGCAGCAGATGCGTGCCGGTGCCTCGATGCTCATCGGAGCGAGGGGAATCGCTTCGACTCCAGGACGGCGCTCGCCTCGGAAAGAAGCGGAATTTTTTTTAAAAAGCGACCAAGGGATCCCACCTCAGTTTAACACGCGGGCGGTCGCGATCGACGCCATCCGCAGCCTCGGTTGTTGGGGTTAGATAGCGTGAATGCAACATGCCTGCGTGTCAAACATAACGAAGGCGGTGGTCACCTGCGCCGCGCTTTCAGGTGCGCCCCTGCGGCCGTCTGGAACGCGCTCTTCCTTTTCGATATTAGGACGCCAAGGGGAGCTGCGCACTTTGAAAACGATCAACGATTTTGTTTTTGTTTAACAGGTGTATAGCCCGCCGAGCTATATAGATTTTTTTTTGTCTGAAGCGACCTGTCCACAGATAATCGCACAACGAAGCGGCTTAACGCGTGGACATTTATATCCGTCAAATACTCTAAACGCGTCGATGTTTAACTGTGGAGGGAAAAAAAAACCGGAAGACCCGGAGAAGAATCCACACGACCACGGGGAGAGGGAGAGACGCAAACTCCAAATAAACAGCAGCAGCAGGAGTCAGGGTCGAGATTAAACCCACGACCTCCTGCATACCAGGCGAGGTAGTTAACATCTCCTAGCCACCGTGATGATGATAAGAGGGAGAGACGCGCCAAACTCCAAATATACAGCAGGAGTGAGGGTCGGGATTGAACCCACGTCCTCCTGTATACCAGGCGAGGTAAGTCAACATCTCGCCACTGCAGACCCCCTTTTAAATCATTCAGATTGAAATCTCATTCCTTTAAAACTCCTTGTTGTTGTGTTTAGTTTGCTGTCCCCCCACCCCGCCACCCCGTTACCATCCGATCAACACAGTTGGCTACGTACGGTGCGAAAGAAGTTCAACATACACACGTGTAACGCGCGCGCATGGAAACAAGCGTGCTCGCGAAACACTGCCGAGCGATGCAGCTTCGGCCTGCCAAAAGGGAGATAATGGCTCGCGATAGGCTGTCTCGCGCGGTCAAATAGAGGGCATTGATTTATCGACTTTATTCTGAGAGTGCACTCCACTCAGTGCCACCGCACACGGACACACACACACACTGCAGACCACCGCATGAATATCGGAGTTGGCAACACCGATACCGGCCAGCAACCGCTGCCAGCATCAGTCACGCGTAAGTGATGCCCCTGCCACTGCCGCCGCCGCTGCTGCTGCTGATCATTATTATTATTATTACGATCGGTGGCTTCATCGTTCAAATTATTTGGAACGTGAAGGGTTCGCCATTGCATGGGCATGCCACCAGCGTGGCACGGCACCGTCCCGAAGCTGTGCTGAGGTCGGTGGCTGGATGGGCATTCGACTCGAAACGCTTGCAGTCACTGTGGCGAGGGTGCACGGCAAAGGCAAAGATCCCCCGTATAGCCTGCACAGAGTGCTGGGGCAAGTGCCGTTAGCGCGCGTGGTGCTGGCCAACCGACCACCGCCGTGTGCCGTGCCGGCCTTCGTAGGTGCTATCATTCCGTCCAAGTGATGGCCGGGGCTCAACCTCGCGTGGAGTCTGAACATCTGATGGGTATCGCACCCAAGCTGGTTCAGCGGTGACCGCATTGAAGGGCCTTCCACGAGAGGCGTGGCGACGATTTGGCTGCGGTGTACTGGCAGTCGTCACCTCGACGATCAGTCACCGTTAATGGCCTGCGACGTTTAGCCAGGAGAGCATCGCTGCCGAGTCTCGAGACCTTCACCAGAGAGAGAGAGAGAGGAGGCGGGGGGGGGGGGGGGGGAGCACGACGCTCCCAAAGATCCACACGGATAGATTCAGGAATCCGCCGCTATAACTTCCATCTCTCAGCCACATCGCAGCGCACAGCTCCAGCAAGCTGGCATATTCCCCACAGCATTCCGGTCCATCATCGCGTCCAAGTGATGGCTGGGGCTCAACCTCGCGTAGCGTCTGAAGATCTGATGGGTATCGCACCCAAGCTGGTTCAGCGGTGACCGCATTGATCACGGCTTGACTTCACACACTCATCCGACCTGGCTCGCTGTGGCTGTACGCGACAAAGCATCTCATCTGCATGCATGGTATCCGCGAAAACTCCATGGTATCCGCGAAAAAAAATACAAAACGAACCTCATTATAGGTGGAACATCCGATCACCCGAGGCTTGAATCTTCCGTGGCCCCGAGCATTTTCAGAGATGTCCTCGTTTCTCTGAACGCCTTCCGATAATCCGCACATCTCGCGCGCCGAGCCGGCCTTCATTGGTGACAGCTCGCTAACAGCACTTGCCCCAACAGTCGGTCGAGCCTATACGGGGGAACCTACGTCTTTCTGTTTTTGTTGTTGTTGGTGATGATGATGGTGGTGGTGGTGATGGTGATTCTCTTACGCGGAGCAGCACACCAATGGCCACGTAAACGGCAGCATGTTCGCGCGCGGGCGTGCGTCTGCGTGCACGTATGTTTGCTTGCGCGTCGAACTTCTTTCGCACCGTACGTAGCGCACCGAGCTAATCGGAGGTGCGGGGGAAGGACAACAAACTAGACGGACGGGGCGGCTGGTTGGGTGGAGGGGTTAGGGGGTGGATCACACGCGGTATCGACATAGAGGTTTGCTCGCAGACGAGGGGAGACCATAGATCTTAAGAGGTCAACATTCAGCTTCGTCAGCACCGCGGACAGTGGCTGGCGCGGCTGGAGATTCAAGCGAAGGTCAGCTTGGGTTGTGAGACGGGAGGGGGTGGGGCTGGTGGAGTGCAGGGGCGGGGGGACGAGGGTATGAGAGTGTGGAGGTCACCGGTCACTCAGGACTTACCGGACTATTCACGCTTCATCCCGCGAGCCTTCGTTGCCGTCGTTTTTGGCATTTAAACAGAAAGCTAACAAACAAAAAACATTCGCTCACAAGCGAACAAAATCTCAAATCGAAAGAGAGAAATCCTTGGGATTGATCTTCGTCGCTTTTCTTGCCCCCTCCCACCCAACTTCACCCCCCCCACCCCCAGCTCCCACCACTCCTTCACACCTCAGGCAACCGTCTCGCGCAGTCCTCTAAGATTGCTCGGCTTCTTATTCTTCTGCTGCTGCTGCTGCCAGGGAACGCGAAGGCTTCGGATTAAATCTCCCGTCCCGGTCACGGCCGCCTCCACGGGCGGCAAACCAGCAAAGTCACTCGGTCACTCGGTCACTCGGTCACTCGGTCACTCGCTCGGTCAGCGGCGGTGGCTCTCACATCTCAGCTCGATCTCCCCCGGAATTGAAAATTCGCAGCGCAGGCCGGAGCTTCCATCAACCACCCCCCCCCCCCCGCGTTCTCCCTCTCGTCTCTCTCTCTCTCTGCCCTCTCTCTCTCTCTCTCTCCTCCCCTACACTCGCCTCGCCTCGCTCGATCTGTCGGTAGCCACACAGGGGCCGGTAAAAGCCACCGCGGTATAAACCACCCAGCCAACTCGTCCCCACCAAATCTCCCCACGCAGTGACCACGAGCAGCCAACAGCACCCCGGGGCCTCCTCGTCACAGCCAGGCGGCCGGGATCACCGCGTGGCCGTGGCAGCAGCAGCGGTGGTGGTGGTGGTGGCTGTTGGCTTGGACTGAAGGAACCGGTGGCTGCTGTTGTCGCTGCTGCTGCTGCTGTTGCCGCTGCTGCTGTCGCCGCTTCCGCTGCTGCTGTCGCTGCTTCTGGACTGCCACGCGCTGACGTACGCGATGCCACATCACTCTTTAGCGAACGGCGCTGCGGTTGCGACGGTGGTGGTGGTTGTTGGTGGTGTTGGTGGTGGTGTTGGTGGTGGTGTTGGTAGCGGCATCCGTCCACCGGCCGGAAGAGGAGAAGGAGGACGAGGAGGTGGTGGTTGGTTGGTGGTTGGTTGGTTGGTGGTGGAGCGAGAAGAGACCGCGTAGCCAATGCTGAGAGCGCGAGCTGCTGTGAATGTGTGTGCCGTGTGTGTGATGCGCGTACAGCCGGGGGAGAGAGCGAGTGGGAGGGGGTGGGGGAGATGCTGGGTGGATGGGTGGGGGGAAGTGTTTGCCTGCGCGCGCGCGTGTGTGCCGCGTGTGTGTGTGTGTGAATGTGCGTGTCGTGTGTGTGAATGGGGAGCGGTGGTGCAGCGGTCAGCGCGCTACGCTGCCACACCCGCCCGTTCAGCCAACACCGAGTGACGATTATCTGAACCGGTCCTCCTAGGTCGACTCGGCCTCGAATGAGTACCTGGTGCGGTGCGAAGGCCGTGTCGGCCTTCATAGGTGCTGCTCGTTGAACAGCACTTGCCCCGACAGACTGTCACGGGCTATACACGGCGAGAGGGAATCTTTGTCTTTGTCTGTGTGAATGGGAGGGAGTGTGTGGTGGGGGGGGGGGAGACTGCTGAGGAAGGAGAGAGAGAGGGGGGGGGGGTGGAAGGAGGTGGTGGGGTGGAGGGGGGAAGGGGAAGGAGGCGGGGGGGTTGTGGTTGAGAGGGGCTGGGGGGGGGGGCATTGGAGGAGCTCTGGGTACCGTTAAACGCCCCACTGAAGAAAGCCAGATGTCAGCTGTAATCAGTTTCATTGGGGGGCCGCTGCCACTGGAGTGTGTATAGACACACACACGCGCACACACACGTACACACACACACGTACACACACACGTAAACACACGTACACACACACGTAAACACACGCACACACACACACGTACGCACGCGCACACACACGTACGCACACACGTACACACGCGCACACACACACGTACACACGCGCACACACACACACACGCGCACACACACACGTACACACGTGCACACACACACGTACACACGCGCACACGTACACACGCGCACACACACACACGTACACACACACGCGCACACACGTACACACACACACACACGCGCACACACACACACGCACACACACACGCGCACACACACACACGCACACACAAAGATAAAGATCCCCCATATAGCCTTAACAGATTGTTGGGGCAAGTGCTGTTAGCGTGCACCTATGGAAGCCGGCACGGCACATTAGGGGGCGGTGTGGCCTGCACCACGCCCGACCGCCTTTGTCTCCCCAGTGGCGATGTTTTTTTTACACACCGCACCAGATAATCACTTGAGGCTGAGTCGACCTAGGGAAGGCACGGGACCGGTAGAGATAATCGTCACCGGTATTGGCCGTGAGCGGGAATCGAACTCGGGTCGCCGGGTTCGTAGCGCGGCGCGATAACAACTCACTACACCACCGCTCCCCTCCAGCACCACGCACACACTCACATCTCAACACAAATGCCAACACACATACCCTCACGCTCCACACACACACACACAGGCACACGTGTGTGTGTGTCGAGAGAGAGTGTGTGTGTGTGTGTGCCAACTGCTGCTGTATAGGAGGTGCTCGCTAACAGCACTTGCCCCTGCAGTCTGTTAAGGCTATACGGGGGATCTTTGTCTTTGCCAGAACCAGTCAGCCAGGCAACTCCACTACCACCCCCCCCCCCCGCAATTGAAATTCCTCGTGGCTGCTCTGCGCTCCACGTGGGCATCTCTTGCTGGCCACGGGACGCGTGGTGCTGTCGCCGATCTGAATGTCGCGGTCCTGCGAGGCGAGGAGAGTGGGATTCTTCGGTAAAAAAAGAGAAACTCACGAGACCTCTGTTTCGTCTCACTGCAGTCCAAAGATAAAGATCATCCGGATACCCTTACCAGACTGTTGGGACCAGTGCTGCTGTATAGCGAGCAGCATCTATGAAACAAAAAAAATGGCTAACGAGACCTGCGTTTTGTCTCACTGCTGTCCAAGGATAAAGATTCTCCGTATAGCCTCAACAAACTTTTGGGGCAAGTGCTGTTAGCGAGTAACACCACGTGCGGTAGGCCACCTTTGTCTCCCCAAAGCTGATTTGTACACACTGCGCCAGGTACTCATAAGGGGCTCTCAAACACACACACACGGCACTCACACACACGGGACTCACACACACACACAGGACTCACACACACACGGGTCTCACACACACACACACGGGACTCACACACACACGGGACTCACACACACGGGACTCACACACACGGGACTCACACACACGGGACACACACACACGGGACTCACACACACACACGGCACTCACACACACGGGACACACACACACGGGACTCACACACACGGGACACACACACACACGGGTCTCACACACACACACACACGGGACTCACACACACACACACACGGGACTCACACACACGGGACTCACACACACGGGACACACACACACGGGACTCACACACACACACGGCACTCACACACACGGGACACACACACACGGGACTCACACACACGGGACACACACACACACGGGTCTCACACACACACACACACGGGACTCACACACACACACACACGGGACACACACACACACGGGACACACACACGACACACACACACACACACGGGACTCACACACACACCACACACACGGGTCTCACACACACACACGGGACACACACACACGACACACACACACACACGGGACTCACACACACAGGACTCACACACACATACACGGGACTCACACACACACACGGGACTCACACACACAGGACTCACACACACGGGACTCACACACACACACGGGACTCACACACACACACGGGACACACACACACGGGACACACACACACACGGGACTCACACACACACACGGGACTCACACACACACGGCACTCACACACACGGGACACACACACACACGGGTCTCACACACACACGGGACACACACACACGACACACACGGGACTCACACACACACACCACACACACGGGTCTCACACACACACAGGACTCACACACACACGGGACACACACACACGGGACACACACACACACACGGGTCTCACACACACACACGGGACTCGCACACACACACACACACGGGACTCACACACAAACACGGGACTCTCACACACTCTCACGGGACTCACACATACACACACACGGGACTCACACACACACACGGAACACACACACACACGGGACTCACACACACACACACACGGGACTCACACACACACACACACGGGACTCACACACACACACGGAACACACACACACACGGGACTCACACACACACACACGGGACTCACACACACACACGGAACACACACACACACGGGACTCACACACACACACGGGACTCACACACACGGAACACACACACACGGGACTCACACACACACACACACGGGACACACGCACACGGGACTCACGCACACACACACCCACACACACCCACACACACTCACGGGACTCACACACACACACGGGACTCACACACACGGGAAACACACACACACGGGACTCACACACACACACGGGACACACACACACAGACACACCGGACTCTCACACACACACACACGGGACTCACACACACACCCACATACACACGGGACACACACAAACACGGGACTCTCACACACACACACAAACACGGGACTCTCACACACACACACACGGGACTCACACACACACACACACGGGACTCTCACACACACAAACACACGGGACTCACACACACACACGGGACTCTCACACACACACGGGACACACACACACACACACGGGACACACACACACACGGGTCACACACACACACACACGAGACTCACACACACACATGGGACACACACACACACACACGGGACACACACACACTCACACACACACACGGGACACACACACACACGGGACTCACACACACACACACACGGGACTCACACACACACACGGGACACACACACACTCACACACACACACGGGACACACACACACACGGGACTCACACACACACACACACATGGGACTCACACACACACACGGGTCACACACACACACACACGAGACTCACACACACACATGGGACACACACACACGGGACTCACACACACACGGGACTCACACACACACACACACGGGACTCACACACACACGGGACTCACACACACACACACGGGACTCACACACACACGGGACTCACACACACACACTCACACACACACGGGACTCACACACACACACACGGGACTCACACACACACACGGGACTCTCACACACACACACGAGACTCACACACACACACACGGGACTCACACACACACACACACGGGACTCACACACACACACAGGACTCACACACACACGGGACTCACACACACACACACGGGACTCACACACACACACGGGACTCTCACACACACACACGGGACTCACACACACACACGGGACTCACACACACACACGGGACTCACACACACACACACACGGGACTCACACACACACACGGGACACACACACACGGGACTCACACACACACACGGGACACACACACACACACACGGGACTCACACACACACACGGGACTCACACACACACACGGGACTCACACACACACACACGGGACTCACACACACACACACACGGGACTCACACACACACACACACGGGACTCACACACACACACACACGGGACACACACACTCACACACACACGGGACTCACACACACACACACGGGACACACACACACACACGAGACACACACACACTCACGGGACTCACACACACACACACACGGGACTCACACACACACGAGACTCACACACACACGGGACTCACACACACACACGTGACTCACACACACACACACGTGACTCACACACACACACACCGGACTCACACACACACACACGGGACTCACACACACACACGGGACTCACACACACACACACACGGGACTCACACACACACACACGGGACTCACACACACACACACGGGACTCACACACACACACGGGACTCACACACACACACACGGGACTCACACACACACATACTGGACTCACACACACACACACGGGACTCACACACACACACACACCGGACTCACACACACACACACGGGACTCACACACACACACACACGGGACTCACACACACAC